GGAGGTTCACAGGGCAGAGGAAGTCAGGGAGGAAAAGGGCCTTTTACTTTCCCACCCAGAGCAAGTTTACATCTGAAAGACTTCCAGGCACCAAACGTTCTCCTGACAGCCTTCTGCTCCCAACGCCCATATTTAAGGTTATTTTTCTTAGACATTTAGAAGAAATGTTCTTTTGCAAGCAGCTCAGAAGAGGGGCCTCACTTGGCTGCCTTGGCCTGACCCTGGCAGGATCCCACCTCTGTCCTTTGACTCCTCACAAAGCCACTGAAGACCATCTGAGTCACTCAGCCTCAGACCCAGGAGGCTGCACAGCCCCAGGTGGAGGGAAGGGCTCAGCAAGCCCCTCCAGCACTGAGACTGATGAGCTTTACTGGAGGGGGGGGGAAACCTGCCCTGAATTTACCTCCAGAGGCAAACAGAGGGATATTTACACAGGATAGCTGGTGAAGGAAGGTTGCAGGGACTCTTCTCATGTGGAAAAGGTTTTATTTACTGTGCTCTAACAAGACAGGATTTGGTTTACAACTAAGGGTGCATTTTTCAGAGCTTCAAAGAAAAATAATAAATAAATAAAAAAGGTGCATGTGTGTGGGATAAAACACATTTACCATGTAAAATGCTGCTATAAAAGACCCCAGGTGGTAATGCTGGAAAATATTACACAGAATAGTGGACAGTTGTACAGTTTTTCTAACAGTTGTGTATAGTAAAAGGATTACAAACAGAATGAAATGTTCCTTGATTAAAACAAACTGATATCCCACCTGGAAAATCCTGGCCAGGCTCTCATTGTTCCTGAGTGACCCTGGGGCAGCCACAGGTTACAGCTGAGCCCATAAGTCACTCAAACACCCTGCCTGGCTCTTCCCAAGTTCTCTCTCTCGGGATCGGTGGGACCAGCTAAAGAGCCCTTTGTTTCCATTCAAACATATGTAGGTGTGGAAAAGATGTTCAAAACATTAAAGAGAAACAACTGAGGACTGTTACTATTCCAAGAAACAAATTAAAACCCAGAGTCTGAAATGCCGGGAGCGCTGGCAGTGCCAGAGGAAGTCAGACATCACTGGAAATGCTCAGCACTGCTCAGTCCCTGCGAGGGGGACAACAGGTTCAACAGGTTCCATCAAACCTGAGGATTTTAAAAATCACTATCTCCCTCAGATGTATTTTTTTCATTATATCTTTACTTCTGACACTGATAATATAGACACTTTCTAGAAAGGGAATAATAAATCAAAATTTTTATAGGTAACTCATCAAAATGATGGAACACCTCCCCAGTTCACCTAATGGTTTGTAAGCCGTTCAACCTCGAAACCATTAACGCTGACAAGTAATATAAGAAGGCAAATGAAAAGCTATGCCAAAGTTGCTGCATTGTGGGGTTTTGTGTCACACAAACTAATAAAAACCATAAACTGATATAAATCAATTCACATCTCAAATAACAGGTATAAAACTTTCTAACGGTCTGTAAATAAAAGACGCACTTCGGACAAACCAACTTTTATGGTCTCTTTAAGTTCCAGAACCACTTTTTCAGATCAAAAAAATTTGCGTTACCAGAATATTTTGCATTTTTGCATTAATTAAATAACGCATAAGAACCAAGGAGAACATAATGTTTTCCTATTTCAGGCTGAGGTTTATTCAGGCATAATTCATACTGCACCAGTAGACTTGGCTACAATATTCCTCACATTTTCACAGAGGCCGGCTGGCGACATGCACATTATGAAAAAAAAGAAGAATAAGCAGATAATCACGTCAGATAAATACATTCCACTCCCTCCAACTGAACTTGCAGACACAATTAAATTCTGTTTTCCCTCTGGAAATGCTTCCCACTCCTTCGGTTCTGCCACAAGAATACAACAACTCCTGCCACTTTGGTCCCTGACTACATCCCACTGCACCTCCCCAGGCCACATACATTCTTTGCTCCCTCTACCATACTGGTTTTTAAGAAACATGATGTCTTCTATTTCAGAGACTAATTTGTTCCCAGGTTACAACTCTTGCCTCTCTGACACCCAAGCCACTCTGTCAATTTATCTGGGCCACCCAAAGCCTGTGAGCTGTCTCTGAGCTCTGAGGATGCTGCTGCCCTTTGCCATTTCTTCCACGTCACCTCTTTCCTCTAAAACACATTTTCCAATCTTCAGCCTTTAACCTCCTTTTCTAAATTTCTCACTAATTTCTTCGTTAGAGTTCTAGAACAAACACAATGACAAGGAATACTTTAAACTCAGGAAATCTACTGAGCAGTGCATATAAATCTTCAACTGTTACAAATACTGCACATCCTTGGTACAGTGTTATACAGTGCATTGCTCCTCTTTTCAAGCCCTGTTTGGAAGCTCCTCCACAAGACCAAAACCAGTGGCAAGTTTATCACCCTGAACAAGCATTTTCATTCTTGTTAAAGCACTTTGTCACGTGCTTGTCCTCTACACCTGCTCTGGGTCCCTCTGCCCCAAAGGCCCTGGGGTCGCCCCTGCCTCCTGTAGCACATGTCTTTATTGACAGAATTAAGCTGGGACCAAATATAACACGCTGATAGTGATCATCATAGTTAATCTACGGAGCCTTGAATGTATTCTAATCTCAAAAGTCAGCAACATCAATCTGTAGCCCTCAGGTTTTCAAGTTTCTCATGAAAGGATAAGATACCAGAAAAAGGAACATATATTTCAATGTTCAAGAGTCTGTAAGTTATTTGGGGTTTGTTTTTCAAACTACACTGGACTTCAAATACTGATAGAAAACAAAACAAAAAACCCCAAACCCGCAGCTGAACACAGGCAGAGGCTGAATCAACTCCCTCTCTCAAAGGGACATGGTTGAATTCTTAATATCAGCTACAAAATTAAGTTTATCTAATGGATTTTTTAAAAAGTAAACACTAAAAAAATTGAGCCATATGGTCATGCACTTCAGCTTCTTGATTCCCAGGCAGCACAGTAACCATGCAAGTGAGGGTGGAGTACTTTGTGATACTCATATAGAAAGACAGAGGTTGTCTTTGCAGGCTTATTCACACTTTACTCCTAGTATTTCATGTGAAGTATCACACAGGATATTACCTCCATTTAACAAAGAAACCTGGGAAATTAATTTAGGTATTTATGAAGTGTCAACCAGACAGTACATCTTGCACGTAGCTTAGATACATGCTGAAATACTTAAAAGAAGGATAAAAACCAACCAAATAGTTTTTGGTTTTTTTGCTAGAAACGTCAGCCACACTTGCTGCACAGATGGCTGTGCATTACAGGGTAGGTACCTGTCTGCCTCTTACAGCCTGCACTGCTTCAAATGCTGTTTTATCACTATCAGTGGGAAGAAATGGATTTGCATATTATGGCTGGGCTATCATTCAGTAATATCAAATGACAACTGTAAATAAATTACTTTAAAAATGTGACATGGGCATAAAAAAAAATAAATCAGAACATGAAAAGGACCTTAAAGATCATCCCGTTCCAACCCCCCTGCCACAGGCAGGGACACCTTCCATTAGACCAGGCTGCTCAAAGCCCCATCCAACCTGGCCTTGAACACTTCCAGGGATGGGGCATCCACAGCTTCTCTGGGCAACCTGTGCCAGGGCCTCACCACTCTCACAGTAAAGAATTTCTTCCTAATACCTAATCTAAACCTATCCTCTTTCAGGTAGTTATCTGAAAAATGTATTACCAAAATATTTGCAATACTTTAAAATCGACACTGTCTTTATGGTAATGATGGAGTGGTACTGTTCAAAACTCACACAGAGACTTTACATCAGGAAAGACCAGGGTAACAGGCAAACCTTCCTTTTAATGCCATTATTCCAGCAAAACCGCATTTTTTTAAACACCCAAATGCAATGACCACGACACTATCAGAAAGCACCAATTATAGAATACTGAACACAGTTTTTGAAACAACCAAAAAATCATCTCAGTCTTAAAAGGAAAGCTAAGCTGTCCAACTGCAAAAATGTAGAATGAGAGCAGCAATCTAGAAAAAGCATCAAATCAAATAGAATACTGATGATATGCACATACTGCTTTAAAGTAGAAAATAACTAAAATAACATAGAATCATAGAATATTTTTCAGAGAATATTTATCACAGAATGATAAAATGATAGAATGGTTCAGGTTTAAAGGGACCTTAAAGATCATCTCATTCCAAATCCTCTGCCATGGGCAGGGACACCTTCCACTAGACCTGGTCACCCAGAGCCACATCCAACAGAAGTAATTATTTGCTACTAAACCCTGAATTCCAGGAACTGAAACACAACATAAAAGAAATAAAAATATATAAAACAAATTAATTTGGATGGTCATCAGTATATAAAGCTTATATGGATTTTAATGAAGTTCTCCAGGACAAAAATAGGGATGGCAGAGCAAGGAGTACTCAGCTGCAAATCTGCCCTGTGTGCAGTTCCACTTTCAGCCACTGATTTCCTGTATGACCTTTGAGCAAATTTCAGAATTTATCAGACATCTCTAAAACAGAAGTGATACCTCTAAGTTCTCTAAGTATTAAAAGAAGGAAATCCAAATATGTTGATGGAAAACCCACTGAAACTCTATTCTGTTCTTTGATGTTGGCACTGCGGGATGTTTGGGATTAACTGTCATTTGGTTTTAAAAGAAAAACAAAATAAACAAAAAAATAGTCCACAAATAATAATTCCAAGCAAAGCACAGGGAAAGTGCAATTTTATACTTGAAGAAAATGTTGAAAAAGAAGAAATTTAGAGTTATTGAAGGGAGTCAGAGTGACATTTATAGCATTAAATACTAAGTATTGTACATTTAGAAAGGGAACAAACGTACTTGAACCACAGGAAACACTCCCATTCACTTCATTGTACAAAACCAGCAGTGATCAAATTAGCTCTTAAACACTTACCTCTTCACATTTTGAAACAAGGTCCAACTGGGATAGCTGACTTGCTAAAATTATGTCCTTTATGTTTTATAAATGCGAAAGGATACGAGGAGTTCCTTCTGTCCTACACACCAGGTAGAGACACGCAGCAATTACGTGGGTCATCTTCCTCCCCCGGGTTAGGTGTTTGCTCACAGCCATCTTGAAAAAATTAAAGGCGGTATCCAGACAGTGCTGATTGAGTTGAAGCTGGTTTCCCAGGTGGTGAATCTGACGTTTCCCTAGAAAAATTAACAAGGAAAAGAAAAGCTTAACAACTGCGCAGTTAATGTGCTTTTGGGTTGGAGTCTCTTGGTGGTTCGTTTTGTTGTGTTTTTTTTAAAGACAAAACTTAAGAGGAGGATTTCGGATTCCATCTCTGTGTGAAATACAATGAGCTCTCAAGTTTCAGGAACTATTCAGCCCCAGCTCCTCAAGACAAAAACAAAAAAAAAAGCCTTGTTTTGGACTGCTAGACTTGAAACACATGCAGTCAATGAGCCCTGGAAAACTAAGCCACAAACATCAATCCCAGAGAGGATCCAAACCATAGCCAAGACTTCTCAGACAAAAGATTATGACCCCCTCCCTTAACATCATTTGACAATTAGCACTTGTTTGGCTGTAGCGATGAACTTCCAAAAGCCAGAGGCCCCAGTGTGTTTGACACTGACGTGCAAATAGAGAAGATGCTTTGCTGCAGCTCTCCAAGAAGTGATGGAGTTTGCTGTTCCTCTGACCACAACCCAAGCCCACAAGGAAAGGAGCTCTGTTTCCACAAGGAAAGGTTGCCCATGATCCCCATTGATGGGGGGCACTTCCTCCCTCTGAACACTTTCGCACCCCAGCCTTCATTTAAGGCTTGGCTGCCAGACTACTTCGATTAGCTTGTGGCTTCGGGAGAACAAATGTGCCTTCACCCTTAAATAAAACAATAAAAAGAAAAAAGTGTGTTTTGGATGATTCATGGCAGGAAGTGGTCCAGCTGCTGGGACAGATGCGGGAAGCAAGGTCCAGCTCCAGCTTCGGGAAGAGTGTGCCGAAAAGACAGCTTAGGAAAAAGATGGGGGAAGTCATGAGGAAAACAGAGCACTCAAGTTCCTCAGCATACGGGGTCAGACAGCACATCAAGAAAAATCCTTTAATTCAATGTGCCGGGCAGATGTTTCTGCACGTGTATTCACAGGAAACACTCATCTGCTCCCTTCAGAGATGTCATGAGCAGCTCTGCGGAAGGGGGCACGATGCCTGCTGTGCCCTCAGCCACCACCACTCACAGAAAGCGATGGCAGCCACAGGATGCTTACCAGAACACCACCAGCCCCAGCACAGACCACACATCTTAATTTCATGCAAATCCCTACATCTTCATCACTAATAACACGGTAAAAATACTTCACCTCCAAACAACCTCTTGCCAAAGATGCGGCTTCAACGCGGCTTTAATAAGGAGTGACTCCAGCCAGGCAGCCGGGGTCAGCAGGATTCCAGCCAAACAGGAGCTGCCCCAAAGGAACAGCTTCTCCTTCCTGCACACGTGGAAATCAGCACACTCACCACTGAGATCTCTTTTAAGGCACGTTGGTCAACCAGGTGTAACATATTTGTATGAAGAAGTAAGAGCAGAGGAAGGATATATCACTCTCCAAGGGAGGTGCGGGCACAATAAGCTACTCAAGAGTAATCCAAAGCCCATTAGGTGAATAGTTTTTCCATTGCCATCAGCAGGCTCTGGACTGGCACTCACCAGCCTCAAATATAAATAATACACCTTCTTAAAACTAAGATACTAACCAGCACCTGCCTTCCCCTGAATTTTATTTCATTTCTCAACCTGTATGCTGTTTCTTCTGTCCCTAAGAAAGAATCAGTTTGTACTCATTTGGGTGAAAAAATTGCACTTGAGTACTAAATAAAAACTCATTTTGCAGTGGCAGCAAAGCAGCTTCCCTGATCAACTACTTCCCAAAGAAGTCCACCCCAGAGGCCAGCATGCATCAGGGAGGCTATGGAAAATCACCTCTTCTCATCATCTGAGCTATTTTACCTGGTTTTATCCTATTATCCTCTTATCGTATTTTATCTGGTTGTATTTTGCTATGCATGGCTGCTGAGATGGAGACGCCAAGAACAGCCATCTGTAGATTACAGGCACTACATGCAGATGTACAACCATTCAAAAAAATAAACAGACATGCCTATGTGTCTCAGCCATAGAGAGATCCAGATTGGAATCTCTGGAGCAGCCAGTACACAGCATTCCCTTCAAGTAAGATGGTCTAATTCGGTGTCCCAAAAATCACAAAGGCAGATGATAACAAGAAACAATTTCAGCAGTTTCAAGTGTTGTCCAAATTTTGCATTTAAGTAGAGCTTTTGAAAAAACATAAATAGAAGAGTGGCTCCTACACCAAGGAAGAGCCACACACACTCCTGAATGCTTCTTGGGCTAAAGATGGAACCGGGATGCAACGCCCACCTGGCTCCACAAGGACCAGGTTGGCACAGGCCACCAAACAAGAAGAGACATGAGGAAGCTTCCCAGGGCACCAGCACAGCAGCAGCTGATGTGGCTCTTGGTGCACACGAGAGAACAGCCCAATGAGCTGGAGATGCAGAGTAAGAACAGGACAAGCATCCACGAGCTTTCTTCCCCAGTATTCCCCTGGCCCATTTGCATTACCAGGTAATCCCTCTCCCAGAACACTGCTCTCATTCAGGGCTCCACCTCAAAGGGCACTTCAGAAACAAAGAGCATACCATAAGAGGAAAAAAGGGAAGATACTTGAAATTCATATCTTTCATAAGCTATTTTCACCACTGAGTTGGTCCCATCTCCAAGCTACCATTAATATTCTGAGTATTTAGCCTTTTCTTAATTTCAGATGTTGAAATATAATTAATAATTAATTCATCATAATTCATCCTAAGTAAACAGTATGCTTGTTTGAGTAATCTATGCATTTTTAGCTGAGCTCGTCATCCACCATCAATATTTTAAAATAGAATTACTTTAGGGCTGACCAGTCATTGTCTACTGACAAAAGAGATCTAAGAGCACAGAAGGGTACTTGTCCACTTAGGAAATGCTACTTCTTACAATGTTTTACTCAACCCTCAGCAGACCAGTGAAGGCTTTAATTCTCTGTGCTAGGACTCCCTCAAGCTGCTTTGTGGTATTATGTCAGTGATACAGTCCGTGGAAAAAGAAGACAACTGTTACACTGCTGCTTATTCCCAAAATGAACAACTTCATGCAGGACAAGAAGCATCCTAAAAATTATGTGCATCTTGATGACTAACTTGGTTCTGTCCTCATCTGTGAGCAGAGAGAAAGAAATGTACTGCTTACAGCATCATCTAAGATAAACATTTACATTCTGTAACCAGTCTCCTATTTACTAAAGAAAGATCAAAAGCTTTGTTGTTTTCCCATCACCACCTCCACCCCCTGAATTTAACATGACACCGAAATTCTATTTTTCTGGTATCTTATGTAACACTGACAAAAAATAGCTGAAAAGGTTAGCATTAGCAATCGTGCCTCCAGATTTCTCCACAGAGAACACGAGATACCTTGCACTCCTACTGGTTCCCTCCCAAATTAGGAAGTTACTTCACAGAGTCCAAGAAAAGGCAGGTATCAGCTAGATGGCTGTCACCCCAGTGCTGCAGAATGGCACCAAACCACTACAAACTGCCCTCATCCCAGTCAGGTGACACCCAAAAGTATGTAATTCTGTGACTTCCCACCTTTTCTGCCAATCTCACCAATCTGACATTTCCGGGTCTGAAAAACTCATCTCCATAGTATTTTCTTTAACTATAAGTACAGTGATTTAATCTGGTATCTGAAGGGCAGCTGTTCATACACAGAGGAACTGGGCTTATGAAAACAACTGATCAAAACAAATCTATCCGGTGCTCCAGTTACTGTTGACAAACATGAACAGAGACCAAATATTCATTCATACTGCCAGTCCTGAACATGAGAAGTCCTCGTAACTTCCAAAAACCTTGCTAAGCATTGGGATGCTGCTCCCCAGCACTGGGGTCAGTGCAGGGAGGAGCTGCCGAGCAGCTGCAAGCTCCAGGGCTGGGAAGATGAGCAATTCCCTCCAGCAGACCTACAGCACTGCATTATGTCAATCAGCCCTTGAACGTCCTCCCACTCCCACTGCTCCTCGCTAGCTGGGTGGCATTTCATAACCTTCCACTTGCTGTTTATCTCCCGACTGCCTCCAGCCTTTGCTCTGATGACCAGTGTGGCTCCAACCAGCCCCCACGGCCAGCTGATGCCCTCAATGCCAGTCTGACCATATGGTGCCAGTGAGCAGGGAGCCGGTCCAGCTCACTGCAAGGGTGCAACAAGCCTTATGATCCCATGATCTCAGCCGAAACAGCGGGAATATCCAGCATCACAATGCAATTTATTAGCAATCTACTCCACTCGCTTTTCACCAGATTCCACCGCAGTGTTACAAACTGCAATGAACTTCTACGGCACAGAGAAGAACACACCTTTAAACCCTGTCATGCTTTGGGTTATAGAACACTCAGGAGCACAGTTTCCTGACTTCCTTATCCATTTCATCCAGTAGAACAGCTTTTAAAAAAGTTTGGATGTGACGCTGCTGTAAAACCTTGCAGCTACTCTCTCAGTACTAAAAAGGAATATCATCATGTGGAACAGCCAGAACTGGGTATTGCATTTTTTTCCAAGCTGCTATGCAAAAGTACAACAAATAAGACAAAATATACAGGGATAAAACAAATCTCTTACTAGATGCATCTTTTATTAGTAACTCGCAAAATGAGTTGCCTCTTTTTGGGCCTTAAAGGTTTTTGACAGATCATGGGATTCTTTTTTTAAACCACAGGAAATAGCACCTTTAAGGTCAAAGCTTACACTTCACGGTGCCTTGCAATTTAGTGATGGCATTAAAGTGGTGTCTAAGTGTCTCTGGGAAAAGGACAAGGAACAGTGTCTGTTTAAAAAGGCAGGACAAGCTCAGCAGCGAGGTTTCAAAAGTTCTCCCCCTTCTCTCACCAGTAAAACAGTAATAAATTCTTCTTTAAAGAGCATAAGAATAAAAGTCTAGAAACTATAGACATTTTGTGACGTACAGGACACACACCACGCAATTCCCATTTATTTCTCAAAGGCTCATCATACCATCGGGGTGGAGGGGGAGGCAGGGGGAGAAGTGAGAGAGAAAGAAAGAGAGAGAGAGCAGCTTGT